AAGAAAATGTGCATTAGGAATCTGCTTTCAACAAAAATTTAAAAATTTATTTTCTCTACAGCAGTTTTACAAAATAGTAAGAAATCATTCCAAGTAAAATCACAATTGTGAATTAGTTGCAACGTTAATGTCGTCACAATAAGCCCAAAAACATTGTACCGTCAACTTATTAAAAATTTTGTTGAATTCAATTTTCTTACTCTTTCCACAACAACAACAAAAAATGGTGGTCAAAAGTTGTCCCAAATGAAATCTAAGAATGTCTCCAACCGAACTACAAATGCCGGTTTGTTGCTGCAGCGACCTATCACCCGAACGACATTCATAGCGCCATTTTTTGTATTTGTGAACAGTGCGATGTCAATATTGACGACACACTATTCTCAAACTCGTTTTTTAATTTTAAAATTTCCCTAATATTATTAAATTCTAAGGTTTTGATCTCAAATATATTTGCTAGCACCATTTCTACGACTATGAAAAGTTGCATGTACATACTTTTTTTTTCATTTTTTTTATGTGTTCAAATGTAATTTTTATTTTATTTAGTAAATATTTATCTTATTAAGTGCATATTAATATTTCAAATTAATTTATCCGGCAATATTTATTTTTATTAAAAAAAATAGAAGTCGGTCCAATTCGAAAATTTGAGAAATAAAAGAGTATGTTTGAAAATAATTATAAAAACAAATATGAGAAAGAATATACATTGAATATTCTTTTTTAGTGTTAAAAATAGTGCTCAATTGTAGTTGAATTATTCTATTTTGAATTTAAAAAAAAAATAAATTTTTGTATTGGAGATGCCCTAACTCGTAGTACATATAGTGTTTCAGCAACCTTATTTGTCAGTTATATCTGAGTAAATTATGCTAAGTTTATCCTTCTAATACTTTATTCATCATCATTAGCATCGATATATAATTAAAATTTTAAGGAAATATTAATATTTTACAAGATAATATTTTGTCTTTTTGAGAGTAATATTTATAGCCTATTTTTATTGCTGTCTTGCATGCCGATTGCCAAAGAACTTAATATGCTAAAAATAACAATAACCTTTTTGTAGTTTCTGAATAGTGAATATATACAGGCTGAGCTAAGTTTTGAGAGTATATTCATAAGTAAAATTTCTTCTTAATTATCCCTTATTCTATGAAGAGAAATTTGACTTTATTTGCCTTATAATGCTCAAATATTATTCTAACCCTAAGGACATTAATTATTCATATTAAAAATTTATTTAGATAATTTCCAATATAATTCGAATAAGGCAGAAATTAAACATTTAGAAAATTATATAAAATAGTTGAATTCCAAATTTGAATTAGGTTTGTTTAGTGTTCGACTGTAGGCTCTGAAGCAGTCAACTCTCCGGCCGTCGATCAAAGGCCACGATTTATTCATGAAAAAATGAGAGAGATGGGAAGAGGGAGAGCTGCCGTGAGCGATTCAAGAAAGAAGAGAGAAGGGCATTGAGAAGTAGAAGCGAGCGTCGAACCGGGTAAAACGTCTAGGGCTTATGTCTGAGATATGTTAGCGGTTAAAACCGGTCGGACTTATACCGATTAAAATCGGTGCAAATAGCAACGGTCAAAATCAGTGCAAAAAGCTGATTTTGACCGATTTTCAAACCGCCTTACCAATCATTGCTAAAAATAATAATTTTTAGCAATGTTATTAAATAATACAATATAGTACAATAAAATATAGTCATAACAGCTATAATATAATATATTGGAAGTGCAACACTATAATTTAAAATGAAACACTATTCTTACTTCATCTTAATTCGCAATGGATTTTTTTTTCCTTCATGCATGCACGTAACGCATAGATCTAACCGTACTAATTTTAGTCTAATTGCAAGCTCTCCAACCCTTCTCTCTCTCTCTGTATATACAAGGGTGGAATCAGCATTAATTTTAGAGGGGCAAATTTATAATTAATTATTGATGTTGTCTTGAATTTAGCTTGACTCTTTACTACAAAAAAATAGATCAATAACGACAAAAAATAGAGACAAAAAATGATCGCTAAATATATCTTTTAGCTATCAAAAATAGCTAAGGCCTCTAAATAAAAGAATACTTGATAATTCTTCATATCCTTGATCGTCATACGCTTCGCATATATGTCGAGGGTCCAAGGGGGTAGCCCCCCTGGCGGGGTTCGACCTGCGCAGTCAGGTCGTGGGTTACCGGGGGCGCTGACCTCTGAACAAATTTTGGTTGCAATGATATTTTTGAAATTCAAATTAATAAATAAAATGATGAATTATCTTTACTATTTCTTTGTATTCGGTTCATCATTCTCCAACAATAACACGTCTACATAAATATGTTTATTTATGCCAGGCGCAATTTCCTAAAGATCATAATATTTTAAAACTTTTATGCAGGATAATTGCCTAAAAGCCCTTGTAATAAATACTAAAAATTTGATGATGAGGGACAAATCACATAAAAAAACATTTAAATTTTTTGTTTTAAATTTTTTAGGAGGGGCAATTGCTCCCCGCCCTCAACACAAGGGGGATCCGGCCCTATATATAATAAATGAGTGATCAATATAATTAGCATCTTAAAACTTACTTTATTTTAAAAAAAAATTAAAATACTTTGAGATGATTATAATAAATGAATAATCAATCAATTATTATACTAACCTCGTTTTAAAATAGATCAAAAATTATTAAAGCATATTCAAATTAAAATTTAATTGAAAGATTTGGACCTAAATTATTTACCTTTAGAAGGCATCATCATGTAAATTATTAAGAAGCTCCATATATTAGTCAATATATATATATATAAAGAGAGACAGAATGGGGTCGAGGAAGGCCGTATAAAGCGAGGACGGTATGCCTCAAAGCAGTGAATTATGATTGCATGGGCCTCTTCTGTAGCCTATTCAGAAAAGCTTTTCGCTACTTGTTAGAAGAATAATAAGCTTAAAGAGACAACGGCTGCCTTCCCACTACGCCGTCTGTAGCTCATGATTCTTTGTATATAATTAAGTTTGAGAGCTCTTTTATTTCCATTTTAATATATATATTGTTGCGGACTAGAAAATACGCGGCGATAGAGATTTAATTCTGCGTCTTAGCGTTGTACGTATAACTAGCTCACACACAGAGAACATAAGATTTTTTACGTGGAAAACCCTAACGAATAATGGGAAGTATGTTTACAATTTGAATTTTATTATTAAATGTTAGTTTTATGTAGAATTTGATTGTGTTGATCAATCGGATTGTACTGACATCTCAATTCAGTTGATCAAGCTCGATGAGAAACTTGCTGGGGGTTGCTGATTGAGGGGCGTTAGTACACCCTCGATTTGCATTAGAGTTTAGGGGCAAAGCTCCCGAATATTTTTTCCTGCATGTCCTTACAGTCGTACAGCATCATGGCGCTATATGCTAGAGCACTGCATTGCTTCAAGCTCAAGTTGGAGATAGAGAGTAGAGAGCTGCGACACTCCAACCCCTAGTGTCGTGGCATTGCAAGTCGGGTTGGAAATCGGGAGCGGAACCCTAGCGCCTCGGCCCTGAGAGTCGAGTTGAGCAATTTTTATTTCCTTTTCTTTTTATTTCACTCGAAGTGTTGCGTCCTTTGAAAGTTAACACCTCTTTTCTGAGATTACTATGCGTGTAGAGTAAAGAGAAATCTGCATAATTTCTCCTAACTTTTATAGTGAATTTCCTTGCGGAGTCATGATTTTTTGCCAATTTTAAGTTTTTCACGTTAAATCTCAATGTCCTGTCTTCTTCGTTGCACTTTTATATTGCAGTGTTAACTGTGTAATTATACTTCCCAACATTCAATTCAATATAGTCAAAAATTAATTTCGAGACAATTTTTTCGAGCCAAAGTAGATTAATTTTAATTTTGAGTAAATTAAATTAATTAAAAAATTATCTAGAGAGTTTAGAGTTTGGAACATAAATACCAAGCAAGAGAGGTTATTTATAATTTTAAGTTAAAGGGACAAATTTTCTTATGAAGACTTCCTCCATATTTGTAAGGAATGATTTTTAGCTTTGGCTCTGTTTGTTGACGCTTAAGCCGCTTAAGCATAAAACGATGGAGTTATTTTATTCCTTTGGCTTAAGCTTTACCAGATCTAAGCTATATCAACTTATCTTTCTATGCTTTTTTTTTTTCGTTTGATGATTGAAATAATATATATAAGCCTAAACCTGTAACTAATCAGAAAATCTTCTTAATTTTTCTTTGCTTAGACTAACTTATTTCTTCTGCTAATCAAATGCCTTAACTCCTCTTGAAAACATAGTTTAATTTATCTGTTAATTTAAATTTTGTTTGGAACAACTTTATTATTGCTTTCTGAAATAACTTTTTAGTATAAAAATTTTTTTATATTAATAAATTAAAGCAGTAAGAAAGTTGTATCAAATAAAGTCTTAGGCTTCGTTTGGGATGGCTTTTTATTGCTTTATAAAACGGAGTTTTAGTAAAAAATAAAAAAATTTATACTAAAACTTCATTTTAGAAAGCAGTAAAAAAACCGTCCCAAACGAATTGACTTGACTTAAATTAATAAGCTTAGCCCAAAGTATTAAGGCCCTTAAACTTTCCATTTAAATTAATATAATGCATGGAAATTTATGATCCACTTCATGTGAATGTAAGAAGATGATAACATGAGTTTTGTTCCAAGTATGGCCACACCTCTGTCTCTCTCTCTCTCTATCTTTCATCTCTCATTCTTCCTCCACTCTCTCTCTTTCTCTTTTAGAAGCCCACATCTTTTTCCAAAGGAAGACTTCATCTTCCAAGTCGGTGCCTTTTATTTCAGGGTTCGAATAACAATAACCCTACTCGGCTTTCCAATATATAGAAGAAAAGAGGGAGAGAGAGAGAGAGAGAGAGAGAGAGGAGAAGAAGAAAGGAGGGAAACAGGAAGACTGAGCACTGAGCTCTCGAGCCAATCTTTTCCAAAAGAAAAGGAACCCATAACAATAAAACCCTACTCGGCTTTCCAATATATAGAAGATAAGAGGGAGAGAGAGAGAGAGAGAGAGAGAGAGGAGAAGAAGAAAGGAGGGAAACAGGAAGACTGAGCACTGAGCTCTCGAGCCAATCTCTTCCAAAAGAAAGAGGAACCCTATTCCTCCATATATCCCAATCCTTAGCTATTGAATATCTTCCAATTCCTCAGCAGTTCAGGAGAAAAAAAAGAAAAGAAAAAGAAAGAAAGAAGTAGGAATTAATGTTCTCTTCCAAGAAGCCAACTATGAATTCGCACGAAAGGCCTCCTATGTGTGTTCAAGGTGACTCGGGCCTTGTTCTCACCACCGACCCCAAACCTCGCCTCCGGTGGACCGTCGAACTCCATGATCGCTTCGTCGATGCCGTCGCTCAGCTCGGTGGCCCTGACAGTATTGCTTCTTTCTCCTAATATTCCATTCCTTCTTCAATTCTTCTTAATATAATTCACCTCTTTGCTTCTCTTGTGATTGAGCAATGGAGATCAAAGTTTTTAACGTCTCTGTCTTTTTTATAGAGGCCACACCAAAGACCATTATGAGAGTTATGGGCGTCAAAGGTCTCACTCTTTATCATCTTAAAAGCCACTTGCAGGTGATTATATATGATGAACAAAATTGATAACCATATATAAATATACTGATGAACATATATTGATGTTCATGCATAGAAATTTAGGCTTGGGAAGCAACCACATAAGGAATTCAACGACCACAGCAAGGATGGTGAGAGAGCTCAATTTCTTCCTATAATCAATTTCTCCTTTTTTTTTTACTTTGGATGATTTCAATAACAGCACTTGACATGCAAAGAAATGCAGCCTCCTCATCTGGAATTATGAGTCGAACGGCCATGAATAATGAGTAAGTTGCTTCTTGTTTTGCATTTTTCAAATATATTTGCCTATGTTCAGTGATCTCTCTCTCCTTTGTTTCTCTTTTTCACTTAAAAATGTTTTTTTTTTTTTTTTTGGATTTCTACCTTCCTTTTCACAGCAGGAACGTGCAGATTACAGAAGCACTGAGGATGCAGAAGGAAGTTCAAAGAAGACTCCATGAGCAATTAGAGGTTTTTTAAAGAAAAAAAGATATAAATACAAATATATAATTAATAATAGAAAAAATGACTGAATATAGCTATAAAGAATACATGACAATTATTTAAATACTACTTCATAGTTTGCAAGTTAATTTTTTGATAAATAAAAATCAATTATTTAAAACTGTTTTGATGTCTTGCAATTCAATGAAAAAAAAAAAAAAAGTTGTATCATTCAAACTGACTTATATCTTAAGCTAAATCGAGTAAACAATCATCTTCATATGTGCCTTTTTTTTTATTTTTATATAACCATTACCTTGCTAAAGTTAATTCACTGTGCATATTAAAGCTTTTAGATGTATACATATAGGTTCAAAAGCATCTTCAAATGAGAATTGAAGCCCAAGGCAAATACATGCAGTCCATCCTAGAGAAAGCATATCAAAGTCTAGCTGGGGAAGGCGCCATGATTGCAACTGGAAGCTACAAAGACCTTCAAAACCAAGCAACCATGAACCAGCTTGGAGCCATGGCTTTCCCTTCCCTCCAAGATCTCCATTTATTCAACAATGACCAGCTCGAAATCTCTCCACAACTCGACCGGCCTCTCGAAGACTTCTTCCCCTCAAACGAAATTGCCCTTTGTTTGGGCAAAAAGAGACCCAATCCTTACTCCTATTCCAATGGGAAGAGCCCATTGATATGGTCTGATGAACTCAAGCTACAAGAATTTGGGTCTCATGAGGAAAATCTAAAGAATAATATCGATCATGAACATCTTCAAATTGCACCATCAATTATTAATGGAGGAATGGAGATGGAATCCATGGCGGATGTTTATGAGGCAAAGCCAGTGCTTTCAGTTGATAGCAATGGAGAGAAGTATGAGGGATCGTCGAAGGTCGGGAGGCCGTCGTCGGCGCCGAGGAGGGCTACTGTGTCTACACCAGAGAGGATGAGTCCAATGATCAGAGGTGGCGGATTGGGACAAACAAGGAACTTGTCTTATGCTTGAGCTTGACTTTTGTTCTTCATGTAAGAGAACTAAACTTCTTAATTTCTTAATTAATTGCTTGATTAAGTAAGTTCTTCTAGAGTTTAGAGGAGGAGTTTGCCAGTCAATTAGTAAAATGCTTGACTGAGTTCGTCACTTTTTCTCAAACAAGTGATGTACATTCCATGAAAATAATTAGTGAGAACAGTTTTATATGAAAAGTTATTCTTTTTTTGAAGTTCTGATGATAATACTCAAACCATGCAAATTACTAATTATTTTTAAAGTGAAGAATTTTATTTTCTTGTCTTGTTACAAACGGTAATGACTGTTTAATTTATTACATAATACATTATCGTTATGATCGATGGAATGAACGATTATGCTAGTTAAGAAAATAGTTGTAGGATCTATTTAATATATACAACAGTGCAAAATAAAGTTATATGATTTGAATATGTACAACAGAAAGTAGAAATATGAATCCATTATATACAACAACAACAACAAGCCTTTGTCGCACAACGTGGAGTATATCGGCTACATGAATCTTTTTTCTCCATTGTCAAAAGTCAAATTCTTGTTTGAATCTAATAAAGAAAGATCATTTCTAATATTTTCTAACCAAGTTTTTTTAGGTCTACCTTTACCTTTCTTAACATAAGTCAAATCTAATACATCTATTTTCCTAACCGGATCATCGGAAGATCGCCGTTTTATGTGACCAAACCATCTAAGGCGACTCTCTAATTTTATCTTCCATTGGAGATACTCCAAATTGTTCACTATATGCTCATTTTGTATCCTATCTCTAAGGGTAAAGCCACTCAACCACCTAAGCTTCCTCATCTCTGCAACACTTAACTTATTATTATGCTTTTCTTTTAATGGTCAACATTCGGCACCATAATGCATTACAGGTATGATAGTATGAATGGATAAAATTATAGAATTGTTGCGGGCTAGAATATACGCGGCGATAGAGTTATAATTCTACGTCTTAGCGTTGCACGGATATTCAGCTCACACACAGAGAACACAATATTTTTTTACGTGGAAAACCCGGGAAAGGGGAAATATTTTTGGTGACGTATCAAGAATGATTTGGAGGAAAACTGAGCAGTCCTGAGATAGAATGGATGAGGCGTAGCATCTATAGATTTGTTGATCGCCCCAATTCTACAATTTCAGAGAAAGGAAACACAAGCATTAATGACCCAATAAGTTGAGAAAAGGTTGATGAATGTGTTATTACTCAGACTCCATTTGAGACGATTTTTTTTTTACTTTAAAAATCATTAAAAAAGTCATCCCAAATGAAGCCTTCGTAGAATAGAAGCACTTATATGTAAAATATGAATATAGTGCAATAGGGTAATGTAGTTTCTTAAGCATTCTGCAAGCAGCTACGAAAGAGAGATTTGATACATAAACAACGAAGCTAACAGAGTTTTGAAAGCTTTTGCTATAAACTTCCTAAGAAAATAAGCAATAAATGGAGATTGTTTTCATATCTTCTTAATTACATTCTGCGTTTGAACTTTCTTTTTGAATAGTTTATTAATTTCCAAGCTTTTGAACGGCTGAAATTAACTGAATACATCTGTATAGCACCTGCATACATATATTTTTTATTCAAAAAAGATCATTGATCAGCAAGCTTGCATGCTATTCTTTCATGCATGTAAAGATTTACACGTGATCAGCTGGAAGCACTTTGATGCACATGCCATTTTAGCATAAGTAACTCTTCTTTGGCACCAAAGTATTGATTTCATCATTTGGTCTCCTTTGGCTACTAAGGCCTATCCTTTGCACACAATTCCCAAGGCTGCTCATCATTTAGTTATAATAATATGCTGCTATAGCCAAGAAAACTATGACCTGGAAAGATATTAGAGGAAATTCGTTTTGTGGGGCGTTTTTCAATGGACAATGATGATTGTTGTTCTTACAGCAGCCCCTTGGACGGTCGTCCCTGGCAACCAGGGGCACCACTCTTGTGCTGACCCTTCCGAGAATTTTGCACTGAGCTTACTAAGTCCACCTTAGCCTCGGCTAAGTTAGTTCCTGTTGTGTTTGACCTTCGGGTGTTCGTTTTTTTCTTTTCTTTTGAGTCTTAGATTCTAGTTTTGTAGTTGAGAATCTTGACTATAGTTTTTGGTTTTCTTACTTATAACTTTTTTACATCAATTTACGGGCTTGGCCCCAAAAATTCCCCACAAAAAAAATAATGTTGCTTCTCTTCAAAATATTAAAATAACTCATCGTTGCTTAAGCTTGATTGGTGGGCGAGTACGGTTGAGAACCCCCCAACCCGTGCTCGATTCGCCTAGCTCGAGCCACAGAGCCACTTAAGTGGGGCTTAATCAAGTGCGGGTCAGGAGATTTTTTGGGTGGGTGCCTCTTCTAGATCAGCCGAGGATTAATCACGCCGCCAAGTGTCTTTTTAGGGGTGACAGCGGCTGGATATCCCGTTTCAAAAAAAAAAAACATTCATATAGTATTTTTTTACTATTTATTAGGAACTATTTGAATAATTTTAAGTAATTAAAGTCATATATTACTGTAAATATAGTTATATTAATTATTCTTTTACCATATCTTTCATCTTTGTAAGCAACATTTTGCCATATTTTAACCTTATAATTCTGTTTTTTAATAAAGAGTATGATTATAATTTATATTGGTGGAATTTTAATTAATTAATTTTTTTTTTCAAAAATTATGATGACTTTTTGTCTCTTATCTTTAAAATATTTTTGGTAGAATATTAATTAATTACAATTGTGAATGTGATTCAAGATAATTAAGTGTGACTAGTTATTTAATGTTTAAAATTATGATATGTATTTTATTTATTTGATCACACTCATAAGAAAACTTCTCATGCTTCACTTCAAGTCACAAATAGTTCTTGATATGTCACCAAAAATCTACTTGATCTAAACACGAATTTCTGGCAACTTCTAAAATTAAAATTTGGATCATCAAAACACCAATTCCAGCAAATTTATAGTCAAATTGAATGTCTTAGTAAGACAAACCAACACCACCAAAATTGATCGAATCTAAGTCCAAATGTGCTCAAATCAAGCTTGTATGCATGATGACTTTTTGTCATATATTACTGTAAATATAGTTATATTAATTTTTTTTTTACCATATCTTTCCTTAAGATTATCTCTGTAAGCATGATTTTGCCATATTTTAACCTTATAATTCTGTTTTTTTAATAAAGAGTATGATTATAATTTATATTGGTGGAATTTTAATTAATTAACTTTTTTTTTTCAAAATGCATGATGACTTTTTGTCTCTTACCTTTAAAATATTTTTGGTTGAATATTAATTAATTACAACTGTGAATGTGATTCAAGATAATTAAGTGTGACTAATTATTTAATATTTCAAATTATGATATGTATTTTAGTTATTTGATCACACTCATGAGAAAACATCTCATGCTTCACTTACACTCAAGTTGATCGAGTCACAAATAGTTCTTGATATGTCACCAAAAATCTACTTGATCTAGCTAGCACGAATTTCTGGCAACTTCTAAAATTAAAATTGGGATCATCAAAACACCAATTTCAGCAAATTTATAGTCAAATTGAATGTCTTGGTAAGACAAACCAACACCACCAAAATTGATCGAATCTAAGTCCAAATGAGCTCAAATCAAGGGCTTAACGTATATTGGAAAGCTTTAGAGCATTAAATATTGGATGACCAAATGATATCCAAATATAACATGCTCATAATCAAATTAAGCAGCTCAACGAGATGAATCCAACAAACCCATGGCTAAGATCGCTTAATTCTTACATCATATTAAGGAATGTAAATATTGAAAAAATGTTCTACCATCTAGGGAAATAATTATATAGACCGTCCCATAGAGCATTTCAAAATATTTCTGATTAGTCATGAAAATAAATTGTGTGAGAATTGCTCAAACATACATGTATCAGAAGTGCATGACATTTATTAAAAATATACATATGAGATATTTTATATAAAATGTATGAGAATTTTGTTTGAACAATAATAAAATACTCAAATCAACATTTAACAGTGTAGAGGTTTCAAGCGTCGAAGGGTCTTTTTGCTTCAGCAATGTATTATTTTGGTTTCTACTGTTGATAAATTTTTATTCTCTTTAATTAAAAAATTTTAATTATCTTCACATAAATTTTGATTTTTATGTAGATCAATTTTATAAATACCATTTCTATTTGAATAAATGCATTGTGAAAGGAGATTATGATCATGTTTTTTTTTTTTTTCAATTAAGTGTGTTTTTACTCATCATCATTTCTTCTTACGGGCCAGTTCAGGAATGCTGCAAAATTTTATAAAGTTTGTTGTAAAATTATTATGAGAAAAATAATAATTTGACTATTCTGATTGCGAAAAATAGCTTTTCATAACAGAGTTTTTAAAAACATTTAAAAACAAGAAGGAGACAGTAACCGAACGAAATTATAATTATTATTTGAAAGGAAAGCAGCAAGAAAGCTGTCCCAAATAAACCCGTAATTTTTAACTAAAATTTTAAGTAAAAGAGAGTGACAATGTTTATCTTAAATTTATAGATATAAAATTTCTAGAGGATATACTTTCTCTCAAAAAATCATGAGATAGAGAGTCATCCACCTCCTTATTTCCACCACTGAATGCAACATTTGATTTGAACTAACCAGCCTAAATGCCCATATCATTACATGCAAAATACCTCTTAAATGTAAATACTATATATATCAGACAATAACAAATAAATATAAACAAAACCATGCACGCAAAACCTGGGCTTACTGTTCGATCTTCCATAAGATAATCAACTCAGAATAAAAAGTGACAGAAAGAGCTAGCGATCATCACAGGAAATTAACTCCAATTTCCTTTTGAATATTGGCAGGGGGAAGAGAAAGAGATGAAGAATACCGACAGAGAGTATCTTACTCTTTTTATACTTTTTTTTTCCTTGAAAAGAAATAATAACAACTAGTGTACTGTCTTCCTTCTGGAGCCGAACTATATGTTTCCAGCCCTTTTATGGTTTTGCATGTTTGCCTTCTTTCTCTTTTGGTAGGGACTAAAAGAGAGAAAGAGCTGTGTGTAGAGTGCAGCATAGCTACCTTTATTGGTCTTAGGAAAATGTGGAGAGGTTGCAGGCTGGAGACATCGAGAGATCAAGTGGGTTCCTTGATTTGTTTTGACTAAAAACTTTGTTTATTAATTTGTA